TGAGGAGCCTTCCTGAACAGATTTGAGTTTGGATTTTGGCCTCAACTATGTGAACCACCTCATGTATATTGCGTCAAGTTTTAGAATCGAGAGGGTCTATTTGACTTAATGTATGTAGAATGGGAGATGAGAATGCTTTTTTTCTCATTTTATCTCATTTCTCTTGTGCCTCTTAAGAGAATCTTGTTGATGGTGATTCTAGTTTTGAAGACACGATACATATATTTACTGTCCTAAATACATTATCTGGTATTAAAATGAAGGTCTGGACTCACCAAGGTAGGAGTTACTATGTCCATCTCTATCGTGGCAACTTTCTAATCAATTTTCAGGGGAAATTCTGAGTATAGTCAATTTTACTCTAAGCACTGACTTTGGATAGAACTCCTCTATAAGATGAACCTCCACCTTTAAATAGTTTTGTAATGTTTTTATTTATTTTTGAGACAGAGAGAGAGAGTATGAGCAGGGGAGGGGCAAAGAGAGAGGGAGACACAGAATCCGAAACAGGCTCCAGGCTCTGAGCTGTCAGCACAGAGCCCGACACGGGGCTCGAACTCACAAATTGCGAGATTGTGACCCGAGCTGAAGTCGGATGCTTAACCGACTGAGCCACCCAGGCGCCCCAAACCTCCACCTTTAATGACAAAGATCTTAAGGGGTTCAAGTGTCCCAGAGTAGTGAATACTGAATTTGAAAGGAAGTTTTGCTTTTTATATCAGTTTCCTTTTACCTTCCCTTTTAGCAACTTTTACTTCAGCCACATTAAAAAACAGTTAAATTTTGCTAGACTATTTTTAATACTATTGTTATTGCTCCTAATAATAACCGCATCCCTCTCCAGTCCCTTAGAAGGAAATAGCTTGAGTCATAGAGTTAGGATATTGGCAAAGTACCCAAAACACATTTTTGACATTTAGTTTACGACAGAGAACAGTGATTTGGTGTTTGGCTCAAAGTTGCTCAAGCACATTTGCCTTATTAGTAGGCAATTCTGGGCAAATTTAATGGCAAATAGTAATTGTACTGAATGAATCTGTAGGCTAGTATTAGAGTGAGGGCTTGGTATAGAAAAGATAGAGGATGTGTTAGAGTGGAAACAATAAATGATTCACTTCTTTGATTGTCCCAGATCCAGCAAAAGGGGACAGGTATGCTATTAGGACTTTGGAGGTTTCTTGTAAAGAAGACATACATAGAGTGAACTCAAGTCTGAACTTCTGAGTCAATAGCAAGTCTGTGCAAGACAGTTTTAGATGACTTCCAAAAATTAGATTTTTCTACACACACACACACACACACACACACACACACACACACTGTAGAATGACCTGAAAATGTGCAGAGGACTTTCTGGAATGATAGAATTCAATGTACTGGAGTTTGATCCAAAGCAAATTGGACAATACAAATGCTGGGAATTGTGATGTAAGTTTCTGTAAGAAAAGGATTTTCCCCCTTTCTTACAGTTTTAACCTTTTCGATGTAGCTACCTTGAGAGAGTATATTTATGTCCAAGGAAGCTTATTTAATTAAACTAACTGAAATGAATGGATTATTCTGAAGAAAAGAGAGTTTAAAAAGTGAATTGTTGGGGCGCCTGGGTGGCGCAGTCGGTTAAGCGTCCGACTTCAGCCAGGTCACGATCTCGCAGTCCATGAGTTCAAGCCCCGCGTCAGGCTCTGGGCTGATGGCTCGGAGCCTGGAGCCTGTTTCCGATTCTGTGTCTCCCTCTCTCTCTGCCCCTCCCCCGTTCATGCTCTGTCTCTCTCTGTCCCAAAAATAAATAAAAAATGTTGGAAAAAAAAATTAAAAAAAAAAGTGAATTGTTTTTCACTACAGCTTTGTTTCCAAAAGTACACAATTACGGGACCATTGCCCTTGTGCATTAATGTGTCATAAGAATATATCTTGAGTGTTTCTGGTTGAACAAATGTTGAAGATACTGGTTACATACTTTCCCTTAAGTTGGTTTAAAAGCGTTTGAATACACATGTGCACTGAAAAAGAAAGCCAACTGGGATAGAGACATACTGTCCCAATGCCTGCCATTCGGTGCCTAACACAATTGTCATTGTGTTTGTCACCTATTTTCTTTCACATGTGGGACATCTGTGAATTCAAACCAGTCAATTAGTCTGGGTAAGGTTGGTTTAGCTTCCTGACCCTGTCTTCTGATCTGCAAAATGGGGGGACCAGATTGGATGAGCTTGCAGATTCTACCAAACACATCCTGTGTAACCCTCTCAAGAGGGGGCCAGAGCTAGTGAATTAAGATGGGCTAGCACTCGCATAAATTAGGTTAGTTTATACAGCAGAAGGGATTTTGCAGTTGTAATGACAAAATTATAAATATGTGAAAGATCCTATGTGGTATTTTTGTTGAATTATTACACATTTAAGGGAAACTTATGGGTGTAATACTGCCAGATCAATTCTTTGTGTGCATGTGTGTGTGGTGCTTTGAAGGGGTGTGGAAACAATGGTGGAAAGAAGCATCTGACCAAGTCTTCATCAGACTGGAAGGGATATTCCTCCATAGGATTCAAGACAGCCAAACATCACTGGCCTTCTAAAGTCTATCCCTTGACCTGGGCACTAGAATTAAGAGTAGGGTACCAAGGAGGCAAGGGTGGGAATTCAAAGCAGGGGAAAGTTCAGGGAACTGATGATTGGCTTCGAATGAGGTGGGATATTCAGTAACATGGTCCCAAATGTGGAAAGTTCTAGGAAGCTGGGATGGAAGGTGGTGGGGGCAACATCAGCAAAGCCAAGGCCTGACTCTCCAGGGCTGCTGTACCCATATTATTTCCTCCCACTCATACTCATCCCGTGGCAGAGTACCTGGATGATCAGATTCAGAGATCAGGAAAACAGGCTGAAAGAGGTCAAGTAACATCCCCAAGTAACAGCCTCACGTGGCAGAGAGGGAAACTGAACCCAGACAGTCTTACTACAGAGCCCTCACTCCTAACCACCTTTGCCTCAAATGGAATAAATGAGACAATGTGCATGGTCTCCCTGGGGCAGGGGGAGAAGGGGAGCCCTATGCTTCTGGGGGCTGATGTTCTGACGTTAGGAAACCTTGAGTGGTTGGTGAAAACTTAGGGGAGGAGGCTGAAGATGGGTGTAAAGTAACCAGTCTTTTCCTAGCTGGAACTTTCCCCACAGGAGCTCTTGTTTCCTAGAGAATTCTTTTAGGTAAGGAGGGCATGGCCTCACAGTCCTCGGGAGATGTGGTGCTTCTTGGTAGGTCACCATTGTGTTTTTGTAGTTCTATTCTTAATTTCTCCTTAGTGTTTTGCATTTCCACTTCTTTTTCAATCTAGAAGATGGATCTGTCCTATTCATTCCATCCTTATGGCATGGGAGCTGCCATTTGGGAGTTATCATCCAGTGGTGAGGGGACCACACCAACAATCCCAGGGCCCCTCCTCCAGCACACCCTCACCCCGTGGGTGCCTCGTCACAGGGACTGCCTTCCATATACGAATGAGCCAGGTAGGATGGTCTCTCTACAGCCTGCTTCCTGCTGGTTCCTGTCAGGCAGAAAGGTGTACTGGGATTGAGGGGATGTAGGGCAATTCTGACTCACGTGGGGCAGCTCTAGTGAAGGCTCTATGATGGAGCCCCAAGTCATGTCAATGAGTCCAGTGTTGAGTCTGGGGGAAATGGAGAGCTGCACTGAAGAGTAGCCAGGCTCTGGCCCGGGTTGAGGAGAAACAGGACATACGAAGGACAGGTTTACCCGATGACACAATTGTATCTTTGGAAGCTTACAGCACTGTCCTTATAAAAATGCAAAGCAGGTACAAAAGAAATTAATGTCATCTTTAAAAGGTCAGAGCAAGCCTGAACATTGATTTTAAGATGCTTTATCAATTAGAGACCAGAGGTTTTTCCTGATGATATTTATTTCATAAATGTAATTATTTTTCTAAAACATATTAAAATAGAAAACATGTTCTTTTGATCAATTATACAAAGAAAATACCAATATAGTAATAAAAATACTGAAAATATATGAAAAGCACCAGAATATTAGAGAAATTACACTGGCAACAATTCTAGGAATATATTTTTTTTTGCAATTGTACAATAAAGTGCTATTAAATCCAGTCAAAATTAGTGGAAAGATATAAAAACAGTTATGGTATTATGAAATTTGAGGCTAGGTTTAACCGCAGTTGCATTTTTAGGCTACTTTGAGACCAAGCTAATATTTTATTAATGTTTTCATGGAAAATCTATTGATTTCCATTCTCAAGCGAAAATCTCGATCTTAATGTTGATCCTTGGTAATTTGGTCATGAATAGGTAATGACAAGATAAAAAATAAAATTATTATCAGAGTACTCAAAGTAATAGTCACACAAAATGTGATAAAATCAAATGAAGACAGAATAAAATCTGATGTAAATGATTAGTTAAGACAAGAACAGAAGTTTAGATGCCTTTGATCTTATAATTTTCAGTAATCTTGCATAGTCACATTTAGTAGACACACAAACGTTAACAAGATACGTTATTAAATTCAACTGGCCAGACATCAGGGAAGAACATTGTAGTGAGTCCACGTCATTTTCGTAGGAAACATTAAAGGGACACTGTTAGGACAATACACTTCCAATTCTGACCAATGATTTCCCCATTCATTTGCTGAGGAACAAAGAACATACACAAATGCTTTGCGATTAGGTTATATATAGCCGGGGATCTAACATGGAAAGGGAACCGCTGTGCACACAGGGAGATACTACGGGGAGTACTTAGGGTGTACTGAAGTCACTTTCACGGCTGGAGTTGGCAAACTGCAACAGAAAAACCCAAATTAAGACCAAGTATCAGACCAGTGTCCTTTTAAGGTTTTATTGCTAGGCCAATTTTGAAGGGACTCTATGAAATCACCACTCTCTACAACTCGACTTTGGAATCCTCAGCTTCTCAAGATGAAAGCCGCCAACCCTACACTTCAGAATAAAAAGTTCTCCAAACGTGGCTCAATCAAAACTCAACATTTATTTAACAGGCAGACTATGTTTTCTTTCAGATAGTTACATGTGAACCGACGAGAACTGAAAATGGCTGTATGAGTGAGAAAACAAACTGATTTCATCCGCCTCTGCCCCTGCAAGTTGTATCATTTTAGGAATTTAGGGCCCACCCTCAGGATTACTGTGACAAAGGCAGAGTATCCAGCAAGTGCAACAGCCCTGGTCTAGGAATTCTAGTTTTCATTCCTAAATGGAGAACCGACACTTGAGTTTTGATTTTTTTCCCCCCACGCTTATAGGTACTCCAGTGTTGTGTCAAGTTTCCTTCCTGTGGCCGATGTTCACGCGAAACTGAAATGTGAATGAATTCTGCTCTGCATCTCAAAACCAAGGTTTCAAAGAAATTTTAACTCCTGTCATTTAGAAAAAGGAGGATTAGACCCTTATAAGAAATGCAGCATGGGGGTCAGTGTCCCGCCCCAGTGAGCGATGGGAAACTGCATAAAAAAGACTGGAAGAGAGGACCAAGAAAACCCAAGCAAACTTAGTTTCCCAAATTCTGTCTAAATGTGAGTGTTCATAAAAAAGTCCGAGATTAATAAAAGGCAGACTGTTAAGGAAGACAGATAAGAAACAAAGGCTAAAAGGTGGTTTGGCATTAAATTGTTTCACATACCCAAAGAATATTGACTAGCATCTGGAAGGAATTCTCAAAATTACAAAGTCGTGTTCACAGAAATTAATCTGTATTAAGTACGGGTTTTTTTTTTTCAATATACACGTTCTATATACATAGTATAGAAAAGCTAATAAGTTGGCTCAGCTATAATGATTTTGTCATAAAAAAAAGATTACATTTTTTGGCTGTGACAAAGCTTGTTACTTCTACTTTTCAGTCCAGCTAATGTATACATATAATAAAACAAACTTTAGAAGTATTCAAATCAAAAGGAAAAAATAAATTATATCTAAAGTATTAATTTACACAATGGCTATGCCTTGACTTTATAACTATGATCTCTTATACTCAATTTCTCCAGTGTTTCCTCATTCTAACAGAGTTTATTTTCGAGACACGTATTTGTTCCCCTCTAAGTGTTGCACATTTCCTTTCAGGAAGCACAGAAGTGCAAAACTTTTAGTAACATGAAGTTCTGGGTCTTTTTCCAACTAATGAGCGAAAGAGCCATGTTTCTCACTGAACTCCACTTCTTTAAGTGTACAACAAATAGAAGAAAGACATGACAAAAGCAAGCAAGAGCATTGTTAAGGAAAGCAGCAGCTGCTGGAACCAGATACACCGCTGAACTTGGTCTTCAAGCTTCCTATTGCTTTCTAGTAAACGATTGAGCTAAAGAGGGGAAAAAAAAAGGATGAAAGATGCATATCAGTAAAACAGTACATTAACCATGTGAACGACAACTAGGAATATTAGAAATCCAAACATTTACAGGATGGGGTCCGTCTACTCTGAACAGCTGGGAGCAGGAAATGCAATGAGGGATCACATCTGTTTGGTGAACAGACGTGCGCCTGCTCACTCTAGTTTTGGAAAGATCTAATTTTCCAGTTGAAAAGGAGCAATGCAGTCACTTTCTGCAGGTACCAAAGCCAGCGAGTCAGAAAGAGAGTCCCTCCAATCTTTTTCGAATTTAGATGGTACCTGTTCCATGAGATCAAATTCTTGGATACTCTCCAAAGCGCCACAGCTCGTCCAAATTAGAATGGCCAGAGCTTTTAAAAAGTTAACACATCTCCAAAAGTAACTCACCACTCACCATTTCCGATTTGGCTGCCCTTCACAAAGAAAAGAGCATTTCTGTCGCGTCTATGCCAAAGGTTCTCTCTACGTCAGTGGGGAAAAAGTGGATTTCTAACGTTGGTTAGCATTTACAACTTTGTTTTAGGGAGAAAGAACACTTACTTGTAGATAAAGATCTTCACTGGTTTTATCTGACATGTTAAAAGCATTGTCTTTTAATGTAAGGGTGGTTGGTTTACTGCTCTCAACAATATGGCATCTTAACCTGTGGAAATGCAAAGGAAACAGGATTGTAAAAGTAAACTATAAAATGAAAAGAGTTAAACACAGAAATCTACATAACAGACATGAAAGCACTCATTCTTCTCCCAGTTACACATAAGGTAGCAGCACAGCGTGTATTCATCTTGGAAGGGGAGCAGAATTTGCCACCCCAAGATACACCTCTCTGGCAGAAGGATTATCTTGGGCTCACTATTTTTTGAGAAACAGCAGACATAAGAAAAGCTTTGAAAACCTTTTGTCAGGGACACTGACATTTATAAAGGTAATCTACACTTGTAAGGGTGTTTTCCTCTGTGTACCAGAGGGGGTGACAAAATCTCTAGAAGGGACCCATCTAAATCTGCTTAAGGACCTTACCCTCGTTTACTGTGATTTTCCTGACCGTCTTCCCTAACTGACTCGCTGATGCCCCAACATCTTGTCTTGGGCCATCTGGGGGAGTTTTACTGTTTCCCTGGGTATGTCCCGTGTATACAGGAGGTATACGTGTTATTCAACTTCTGTTTTCTCCTATTAATCTGTCTTTTATTCCAGGGGGTGGAGGTCTCAGCCAAGAACCTAGCAAGGTAGAGGGAAAATTACTTTTCCTCTCCTACGTTTTGGCAACCTACGATGGGCCCTGCTGGGACACCGTACTCACTTAGGCACCTACAGATGGGATCCTGGAAAACTGGCAGAAGCCAGTGAAGGGTAAAAATTCTTACCTACCAAAGTCAGCTCTTCTAGATCTCACACTAGTGCCAGGTCGAGAGAGGTAAAAATTTCACCTTGTCCCTACCTTTCCAAATTTAGGTTAGCAGAAGAAAAATCGGTCAAATGGGGTTTTCCTTTCCTCTCATTCTATGTATTGAGAGCTTGGGTTTGTAACCAGCAAGAATATTCTTTTTGGTCTCTGCCGGCTGGTGGATGCACAACACACAAGGTGACAGGCAGCATTCTCTCTGTCCGGCCGTGCCAGCTCGCAGGGCAGTTGTCATTTGGGTCCCCAGTCCGTGAGGGGACTTGGTGCTGTCAAAGTCCAATCCAGGAGCACTTCCCTGGTGTCACAGAGCGCAGGGTCTGTGACTGGAGGCCTCGCACATTGTTGTGGGGAACCGGAGCTGCCATTTTCATGACACCGTTCTCCCCACTTGTGGCGAAGAAAGTCTTTGCTTTCTTACGCTCCCTCTCTGAGGGCTTCAGTGTTGGCACCCTCTTTTGGGAAGCCTCTTGGGTCCATGGTTAAGCCATCAAAAGGCCTGTTGGTTTGAGTCGCTATTGAGATTAATAGAAGATCCAACTTGTCAATGCCAGATGGTGGATCTTTTACATTTTTAAAGCTTCTATGCTGAAAACACTGTTAGAGAGCTCTCATCCTAAACAATGGTGGTCTTGGTAGCTCTGGAAAGACCAAATTGAAAGGAGAATATGACCCAGTATGGCAGCTGGCCTGAGGAACTTCCTTAGAAAGAAGAGATTATGAAGTTTTCAATCTCTACTTTCAGAAGATAACCACCTACCAAATTTAGAGAAGAGGTGAAAAGATCAGTCCCCATTCACAGGGACTGTGACTGGCTGCTAAGGGTTGTTCTTCTTATCCATGATTATACTGTAGTTATCAGATAAGCCACATGGTGTCCTGGGGAAAACTCTCCTCACCAGGAACATGACCAGAATTTCTCCCAGGCCCTCCTACAAACGTTCAGGAAATGGATCAGCTGCAGGCTGATGTCTGGGGGCTGACAGAAGCAATAGAACAGGTTGTTTTTCCCCCCTGAATTAAATTGGTTCAAGGATGAAGTAAACACTTAGAAAAAGGACAGCATTCAAAGGCCTTTGTTGAATACTTTCTATAAACTTTTTAAAGGCATGCCGCATTAAACCCTAAAGCTCCAGAACATAGAAATCACTTTCTTTCCATCTTAGTTGGAAATCATCTTCCTGATATAGAGCAGACTGAAGAAAATGTAGCTGGATGGGTGGGTCAGTCCCTTGATCCCATTCAGGCTGGAACACAATTATTTGAGGAATTAAAAGCAACCATCTTTGATTTGCAAATCTTTACAAAACCACTAGTGCAACACTGGAAGCAGTTCAAAGTTTGTCTAAGCTTCCCCATCCTAAACCCTTCCCTTGCCCGCCCCCCTCCCCCCAACCCCCCCCCCCCGCCCCCCAGCTCATCTGCAAATACATGTCAGTATTGTGAAAGATCAGGACATTGGAAACAGAAATGTCCTGGGCTCAAGACAAAGAAGGAAAATAGAAACAGTAATTACTGAAGACCTCTGATAATAGGCAAATGTACCCCAAAACTGCTTAAAAAAAGAAATAACAAACCTTGATACTTTGTGCCTTTCAGGTAAAAATTTTCTATCCTCTAGGACGTGATAGCTAGCTCTTCGAAATATAACTTTAGGGTAAACTTATTCCAACTGCCAGAAACACAATTTGGACCTAAATGTTCTTTTACAAACTAGTGGGTTTTGTGTTATTGTACCTGATTCATGGCTAAAATTTTAGAGCTAGATACCTCAAAAGTCTCTGAGTCTATATGTTTCCGTGTGTCTATATATGTTATGGATGCGTAATATTTTTCTACTTCTGGACGGTATTGCCAAAATTAATTTGTAAAAGCTCTGACTGGCTTAAAGAAAAATAAGCACTTATCAAATTAAGTATTCCTAAAACTCTTAGAAATATAGAAACTAACCCAAGTGTCTTTCAAGTTCCTGTGATGTGGAGTAATCTTAGGTAAAATAAAAGCTGGTCAAGTGTGTTGGTTTAATTAAAATAGGCACGTCTTCAAAGTTATCAATATTAGATATAATGCAGATATGCAACTTTTTTCTACTTGAGTTTACTATTCAAATAGGTTCACGTTTTTAGGTAAGCTGGGTAAGAGTTTTTAGGTGAATTTGTCTACTTAAAAACAGCTTTTCAACTCTGTTTGGTAACGAGTTTTGCTAAGTAAAATAGGAAATTATTTCCAAATAAGATAAAATATTGAAATATTACTGAGCACAGGTTTATCTACTTTTGGCTTCTTATTACAGACGAACTAAAAATATTTAGTCTGTTAGTAAACATATCTCGTGCCACACTGAAAAACTGTACCATGAGGAAGCATATGCTTCTAGAAATTATGTATCCCTGAATTTGCCAATCTACAGAATGCTGGTGTTAAATGACCACAATTGTTTACTACTTAATTTTCACTAAAAATTATTGTTTCTAAGAATTCTGATTCATATATGTAAATTACTAGAAATAATGGAGACGACTAACTCCACGTGCAAGGAAAGTAGGATGTGTTTTTAGCTGAGGAAAGGTATGGACACGTATTTTTCTTAAGGGGAATAAAAGTAATTTTATGCTGAATTAAAGCTGGTTATTTCTGAATAGGGAAGAAAGCAAAGAAAACTTCTCTTTGTGTAGTCAAGCTGGCCAAGATGGAATTTGTTATGAGGGTTATAAAAATAAGCTTTCATATCAATAGTGTACTCATGTAAAACTAAAAGTTAACATCTGCTAAAAGGACAACATTTTCTTGGACTATCAGTCAGCTACTGATAAGAGACGGTGAAAGGTTTTTCTTTAGCTTTTAAGTAATGTGCCTAGAAAGCAAAAATTGTGTGTTTTATCAAAATAATTTCCTGTGCTTCATGTTATCTTTATCATCAGGTATTTGATTGCTTAGGAAAATAGTCTTCTAAAGATCAAAAGAGCTAAGTTTTACTCACAACGATGTAACTTCCTGCATTTGCCTTTGACATTTTATTGTTACTATGGTTAAATGGATAATTAAGTATTATTTCATGATGATTTAGGATTCTATTCAGTCAAGTGTCTAAAACCTTCTGACATTTTTGACAAACCCCAACTCAAATTCTAACTGAAGTCTTTTTGACTTTGAACTATCTCTGGAATTTTTCAGAGGGCCTCTGGAATGTATGGAAAGATTACTTTTATAGCTTTTTTTATAAGAGAGAACAAATTAGGCTTATTTACTATGTTAAGTTACATGGGAAGCACTGTCAAATAAGTGTTCCAGAAATTGTATAAAATTCCTAGAAATCGGCTATGTTCTAGTATAACGTTATTGTTTGTAATTCTAGTTATTATCTTACAATGTTGTATGCCACAGAAATAACCAAATTTCCTTGTCAAAAGCCTTATAATGAACTCTCATCAGGTCTGCAACCATGGACATTTTTAAGTCTGTCATTTATAGAAGCTATTGTTTTACTCGGATCCTTTCGCAAATGTGCTTCTCATAAAACTGAACTGGTAAGAATTTCCAGAATAAAAAAGCTGGTTTCAAGCAGACCAAGAATTAATAACATGGGAGTGAATGAACTGATAATTCTACTGTTTAGGACTTTTTTGAAACACTGCTGGTTCTTTAATGTTTTGTTTTCCAAGGTTTAAGGAAATCTTCTACTCTTTTCTCATAAGCTATGATTGACAGAACTATACCTTTGTAAGCAGAATTGAAACAAGTTTCCTCCCTCTGTGGTCTCTCCAGCATTCAGAAACTCAAAGTATTCTTTCATGGAAATACGGGTTGTTTTTTTTTTTTTTTTTTTTTTTACATAAATTCAGTAAGAATCTCTTCTCCTTGGAAGAGGACACAATTGGAAGCATGGTTATATTACTAAGGCTCTGACTTGAATGTCTTATTTGAAAATGGTATGCATAAAAATCAGGTATGAACAGACAGTTTTAAGGGCTTAAGACTATAGGGACCCATTAAAGCCCCTTGCAAAAAATGGACCTGTAACCTTGCTTACAGGCTTCTGAATGGCCTTACCAGGTAAGGAAGGTCCCTTACCTTGGCAGGCTCAGGGGCTTCAAGAAGAGAGGAATTCATCTAAATCTGAATAACCTTACCCTTGTTTACTGTGCTTTTCCTGATAACCTCTCATTACTGGCTCCTCTGCTCCCACACTCACTCCCCCCAGTCTTTCTTCTTTCACTGGAGATGGTATTGAAGGTGGGGAGAGGGAAAATTATTTTTCCTTCCCTACCTCTTCCTACTTTATTTTTCCATGTTTATGTTGAGAGAGCATGAGAGCAAATGGGGGAGGGGTAAGAATCCCCAGCAGGTTCCGTGCAGAGCCCTCGAACCCCGGTGAGATCATGACCGGAGTTGAAATCAAGCATTGGGCGTTTTACCAACAGAGCCACCCAGGTGCCCCACTTCCTACTTCTTAGTGCATGTGTAATAACACAAGCAGTTACAGATACTGCTCAATAACCTACGGGAAGTTTATTTTATAGGGTAATCAGTTCAACCTACCCGATCTTCCTATTTGAAGGAAACCACCCTTTCTAGGTGGGAGTCAGTGCTTTACTCGGGCCTTCAGTACCAAACCACCAAGTCTCCCTCTTTCTGGGAGGTAAGTGATCCTCTCTTGACTTATAGAAAACCAAACTATGAGCAATTAATTAAAAGAAAAAACCCTGCTTTTGAGGGACTGTTTGCAAAGAACTTCAAATTAATCTCCATCTTTTATACCAGTGTTACATAACCTTTCCATTTGTTTTCAGAGCCATGCCTTTGACAAAAATAAACTTGGCTAAAAACACAAAGTGGAGGGTGTCACAACTTGGGAATTTACTCCATCCCAAAACAAGTCAACCCCATCCCGAGCCTTAACCTGTATCTGGGTTCCTTCCTCCTTCCCGAAGAAAGCTGACCTTTACCTTGGATGTAAGTCTTGTCCCTTCAGCCTTGTCAGAAATTTCACTACTGGTGATTTACCCTGTCCAGGTGGCCTCTCTCATTGAAAAACCCATGCCAGACAACTGCTTCATCAACACTGCATTATTCCTTCCTCCAGCAAGACTACTCTCTAGAACAGTCGTACTACCTCCATTTCTTTGGCACCTGGCTCCTGCCAACTGAAACTGCCCCCCCCCCCACCAGGTGGGCAGTGATGACTTCACTGCCATAAAGCTTGTCTTCCTAGGCCCTCTCCTGTCCTCCCCTCTGACAAGATCACTTTTTGCAGGCTTGTTCACAAAGGTAAATCAGGTCAGGTGGATGCTCTCCTATCTGCCTCTGTCCAGCCTTCTTCCCACCGTGAGTCCTGTCACTCTTCCCTATGTGGTCCAGCCACATGTGTGTTCTTTCAATTGCTTTTGAACAGTTAACTCAACCATGACCGTTAACTAGGTTTTCCAGCTTCTCATTTATCAAATGGGATAAAGAACTACTTACCTCCTAGGGTCATTTTAATGACCAAGTGAATAAATAAGAGTAAAGCACTTAAAACAGGACTGGCTGGCAGCAGGCTCTTATTTAAGTGTTAACTCAGTATCAGTCTTTCACTTGGGTCTGGTCTACACTGTTTTCCACACAGCCCCCAGAATAATCCTTTAAAAAAAAATAAGCCAGATCACTTCGTGGATCTGCTGAGCACCAACTGTAGTTTCTCCTCTTAACATCAGAAGTCTTCGCTATGGCAATCATTTGCATTCCTACTATCTCTTTGACCTCATCTCCCACCAAGCTGCCCTTAACCTCCTCGCTGTTCCTTACACAGGCCCAGCACACTCCTTTTTCACTTGTGGTTCCCTCTTCCTGGAAAGCACTTTTTCTAGTTCTATATATATGGCTTACGCACTCTTTTCCTTCAGGGCCTACAAAAGTGCCATCAGAGTGGCCATTCTTTACCCACCAGTCTTTGTTTTGGGGGGCTGTCCTTTGCATTGTGGGATGTACAGCAGCATCCCTAGTCTCTACCTGCTTGATGCCACAGTACCCCAATGCCCACTTGTGACAATGAACAATGTTTCCAGACACTGACGAGTGTCCCTGGGAGGCAGAACTGGCACACTCTAAAAGAAAACCACAACACTCCTCTCTTTTCTCCTTCTCTGTGTATCTTTGCATGCACATACATACTTGTATATGCCCATGCAGTCCAGGTTTTCCCCCTAATACATCATAGGTACCTTTGTGTATCAGAACAAGAGACTTCCCACACTCTTTTGAATAGCTGCAGAGTACTCCTGCATACATTCAAGTGCGTCTAACCGTTGCTTCACTGGTAACCATTTAGGTTTGTTCTTTCCCATTTTTTCCTAGTACAAATAATGCTGCAACACACACATTCTAGGACACAAAGTGAGTGCTCCTATAAAGGGAACGGCCGGGACAGAGAGATCTAGGTTTGTAATTTTGGACACATCCAGATTCTTGCACAGTCCTGTAAGCAAGTCCCTGCTTGCAACCTCCTTGAGAAACTCCAGATCTCATTCCTGGGCACCCCAGAGTCCCACACAGCTCAGGGCCCACACTAGAAGCCTAAGTGTCTGCCAAATGCTAGAAGGAAGAGACACCTGCCTAGTCCATGCAGGCATAGCTCTCTGATTCTTCCCATCACATTTGAGAATCTGTAAGAAGCATACCTATGTTCCATCACTTTGTTTCTGGGAACCTCTTTCCAGAACTGAGTCAATTCTGCTGGGCCCGTGCCAGATGACTGTTCCATTTCTGCAGCCATTATCAGAAAACGGTCTTGGGCAGAGACTGTTAAACCTGCATTCCAAAAGAGTAACTTGTTATATAAACAAGCCTTTACAAAAGGTTGGGCATGTTGGTTTAAGGCATTATTCTAGAAAACAATGGAAAAAGGACAATATGGAACCACCCTAAAAAGGAAAACGTTTTTTTAAAAATTCAATTTCAACAGGCGTCAGTTTAAACAATTTTATGCATTAAAAAACCATTCTAGTGAGACCCATTTACCCATTTCATTTTACACACGAGAAAATGGATGCCTAAGAATGCAGCGACATGACGTGTTGACACTCGGATTTCCGGCTTCTAGTCCAGCTCTACGGACTCACCAACCAGCCCCAGGTACCCCAGCACACCCTCTGTGGCCATCACGTGACAACTCACCCCCGTGGGGAGACACAACTATGTCAACTGAAGCTCCAGGGTCACAACTGCTGTTGCTTGGCTTGACTCTGTATTTTTCTGGAGCAGTTGTTCTCACCTATTTATGAATAGAGTAATCACGTAATCACTAACAGCATAATGATAAAACTGATCTTGGGGGTGGTAAATGGCTTGAAAGTGATTTTTAGAAAACTAGCAGTTAATAATAAAGTCTACAAAACACCCACGGTGGTCAGGCATAGAATGTATCTTTCCCCATCAACAGGAAAACAGTATCTTTATTTTTTAAAATCTCTGCTAATCTTGGAAGTCCAACTGTCACTCAGCCTTCCTTTTCAACAAAACAATCTGTGCAGTATCCTATCTGGCAATTGCCTAAATTTAATAACACAAATTCTAAAAAACCGTATTAGGACTTGTTATAATAGCGTTGTCCAATTAAAAACACTAGAAAATCAAAGAAAATATCCTAGTGGTCCAATCTAAATTAAATAGATGATTTAAGGAAATAATTTCTACAATATGGGGCAGTGGCAGACTCGGTCATTAGGTTAGTATCCAGCATAAACTACATTCCAAACTATATCACACTTGGGGGAAAATGCACTCTTGATTTTATAGTTTTATTTTTTTTGCTATTATGAATTATTTATATGATGAAGAGTGATTTTCCTTGAGTTTTTATTTACAACAAACATTAAAGCCTGAGATTAATTTGGACATTAGCCTATTACGGCTCATTAAAGATTGAGATACAGATCCCAGGGAAAATTTTAGATAAGCTATGCCATGTGGTTAAAACTAGAAGGCAGCTTATCATGCCTAAAAATATAAATAAAAACACTGCACAAGTTACAAATCCTCAGTCTTTCGATTAAAATGACTGAAATCACTTCCCATATCCAATTTCCACATATAATCTATTAGATCTTTCAGATACTTACCTTAAACGCCACGATGTTTTTAGTTACATTTGTCAACACTATTAAAGTTTTCTTCTCTCCAGATTCTGTACTTCCAAAATACAGTTCTTCTGCTGGGCTAGGTGGTGACAAAAACATAAGGCATTTGTGTTATTCAGAATAAATGACAATCTAATCATTAGCTGGAAGAAAAGCATTTAATATTATATGCTCGTTTGTATAAAGAGATTTCATCAAAAAAAACCTCTACAAAACAATTACCTAATATAGTTTGTGTTTTCATCTTACTAATTGATTGCATGCTACTTAAAAGTCCTATGGTTGGCTTCCCCAAGATCAAAAGCTAAATAGAAAAGGACAGAAGAAAGAATAGGATGATTCTGAATTAGCCTATAATCAGCACCATCTAAAGGTGCATTTAAACTCTTTGGAAGGTTACACATAATAAAAACAGAGAAGAAGCTGGCACTTCAACTTTAATTACAAACAGAATAGAATGGGGCATAATTTTATACACCAACAGAGAAAAGTCTAACGTAAAATGAACGATCATCAGGGAGGTCTTGAAGTAACAGACTAAGGTCTTACTACGTAAAGGCTTTTTCTAAGTAATATGGAATACAAAAAACAAAATTTGGGGTGGGAAGTATTTGTCAAACAGTAAAAGCAGTGAGCCTCAAAATACAAATTTTACTACTGTCACTGTAGAGCATGTGAACTAAAAGACTAAAGCAACGTTTTATGTAGTTTTTATTTTTTTAATGTTTATTTTTGAGAGAGACAGAGTGCAAATGGGGGAGGGGCAGAGAGAGGGGGAGACACAGAATTGGAAGCAGGGTCCAGGCTCTGAGCTGTTAGCACAGAGCCCCAAGTGGGGCTCGAATTCATGAGCTGTGAGATCCTGACCTGAGAAGTTGGATGCTTAACCGACTGAGCCACCAGGTGCCCCATTGTGTAGTTAAATTTTTTTTTAATGTTTTATTTTTGAGAGAGAGTGCGAGCGGGGGAGGGGCAGACAGAGAGGGAGTCACAGAATCTGAAGCAGGCTCCAATCTTTCAGCACAGAGCCCGATGCAGGGCTCGAACTCACGAACCGTGAGATCATGACCTGAGCCGAAGTCAGACGGTCAACCAACGGAGCCACCCAGCAGCCCCTCCAATTGTGTGGTTTAGTTACATGAGTCAAACTGTATCAGGTGCCTCCAAACACTGGGTAGAAGAGTGTTTTTGTTTTAGATAAAAAGGTGAATTGTTCAGACTGTCCTTGACCATAAACATAAGTAGATTCATTTTATATCAGGAATGTTGGCATATCAGAGATTCATTTGGAGAACACATATTTTTAAGGACATGCTCTCCTAGGAGGGCTCTGCTCATCTTTGGACAAGACAGATTAGCACAGCTGCTAGCTTACTTTTAGAGCCCATCTGAAATATAACACAGAAAAGACCAGAAGGTTATGAATCTCAGAAGTACTCTCAATAACCACAAGACTGACAGGAGACAGCCTCTATTGGGGCACCTGTGCCTGGAGGAGAGAGAGGTGCTGTGACTTTCCTGGGGGCAGAGGCAGGGGATGCTGAGCCCAGACCACAGCCCTGGAAGCTGCCCTGCCCTATCCTACCCTACCCTGGCCCTCTCCCTGGCCAGCTCTTGAAGCTGACCCTCGACATTCATGAGCCAAGATCTAGGGTGTCCACAAGCCTCCAGTGAAAAGTGTGAAACTTCTAAACCATTATAGGGAGAGAAGAGAGACAAACTCCACAGGGGGAAAATGGCAAAGAAAACCCATGACCAGCAGAATATACATGTGGGACCCCCCCACCCCCCACCCAGAAATACACAGATGGTTGAGATAATCCAAATATAATAGTAATCCCAATGTATATAAACAAATCAGTCTTCTCAATTAGAGTATCAGTTTCTTTAAAAGTCTGACTGTACCGGTCATAAGAGTCATACCTAAAACAGTTACACAGAAAAATTTCAACTATGGGACAGAAAATGATACATCAGGTCATCACCAAAGTTGGCATAGCAGTATTAACATAAGGCCATATAAATTTATCAACTAAAAGCATCATTAATGAGAAAGAGATCTTTATGTAATGATAATTACAAACAATCCTGAATCTCAGGCTGAGTAACCTAGAAACAAAAATAGAGATGTGCTGAAATCGGGCTTTGGTAAAAGACAAAAACAAAACAACCCCCCCTCCTATTTTTCTAGTCCAGCTTTAGCTTTTAGAAGGTCAAACTGATAAGTGCTTAGTTCACTGTCATCTCTGGCATCCTCAAAGTTGTCCAAGTCAAACACTATCAGTAAAATGAGAAAAATATATGTCATTCAGATTAACTGTTAATATATGAATATTCACTTTTATTACCTAATGTGAAATGAGGGCCCTTTAAACATACTTAATGGAATAACAAAAAGGTAGCTAACAATGTCTACTCTGTCTGGAAACCAAGGTGAGTCTTTGGATAACCTTTCATTAGAAAACTTGTGTACTGTTTTTCAAAATGTGGAAATAAATACATTTTCCCTCAAGATGATCAAGACAGATTATTAAAAAAAAGTATAGCTAATAAAATCCTCAACTATGATTACCTGATGTGTAGTAAGGGCCCTTTAAACACACTCAATGGTTTTTTGAAAGCTTTCATTTTGGAATCAACCTTTTCATTTTCCTCTGCTTTGGAAGTATGTTCGGTAACGTTAATCTAAAGGCCAAAAAAATATGAAGAAAGAAAGATAAATTTAGTTTCATACTGACAGCTGGGCAGTTCATTAGGTGAAAAAGTAAACACAGTGATTCAATCCAAATTATAATCTTTAACATAAGCTTATTACACCTAAATTACGTATTTGACATATATTAACATGACCATTAACATATGCTTGGATGCCTACGACAGATAAGTCACTACAGAAAATGTAACATGGGCTTTCCCTTAGGGTCTTTAAATCTGTTCTAAATTATAACACTTATCCCTCTATCAAGCCCCTGATGACTCATAAAAAGATAACTAAGTGCTCCTTCCAAAACTGAAATAGAGGAAGTAGATAAAAGGCTTTAAACTACTTTTATCCGATAAAAAATAGTTTTGATAACACAATTCCTAAGTGCATATTGCCAATTTTTATACCAATGCATGAAATCGGCTTTGTCATACACCATAATGACACTTCTGGTTAGCCAGTGACCTCCTTCCTCTTTCTTTCCACAGACAAAATGTTGAAGGACAGGAAGTTAAATGAATTACCCAAAATCACATAGCTAGCTAGTTGCAGAACGGCGGACAGGCCACAGCTTTTGACTCAAATTCATTCTATTGTTAAGATTACCTTTTTTAGAAGAGCTGTTTGTTCTTCACTGGAAATTGTTTCCAAGGTTTCTTTGCCATCACTCTCTAGATCTTCTTTACTTGAAGCTTCATCTTCACTGGCAATAGGTCCATTTTCACACAATGGTGTCTGGAAATCATCATCTACTAGCGGTGGGTAGCTATACTTGAAAGGATCCTAAGAGAAAGGAATCGTATAACAGCCTGCTGAGAGGTGGGCAGACAAATAATTCTCTCGAGTTAAAAATCCACTCTCCGGGCCAACAAGCAAACCAACACAAAAAAACAGACTTAATTAGATAGTGAATTTTTTTTTAAAAGGAAGCATTTCAAAACACAAGGGGAAAGGGCAACAAGTGGTGTGGGCAACTGATTAGCCATCTGTAAAAAAACCAAGTTGGATCTTGAGCTCATTCTTTGTGCCAAAAAGAATTTCGGAGGAATAAAAACTTGAAAGTATGTATTTTTTTAATGTTTATTATTTTTTTAGTAAGCTCTACACCCAACATGGGGTTCGAAACCATGACATTGAGATCAAGAGTCACCTACTCTTCCAATGGAGTCAGCCAGGTGCTCTGAAAGTGTAATTTTAAAAAACCATATAAGCTTAAAACAACAACAGCATAAGCTCCAGAAAAACACAAAGAAGGATTAAAAAAAAAAATAAACAGGGTCACCTGGCTCGTTCAGTCAGTAGAGCCTGTAACTCTTGATCTCAGGGTTGTGAGTTCAAGCCCCATATTGGGTATGGAGCCTACTTAAAACAAATACATTAAAAAAAAAAAACATGAAACAAAACACAAAACCTAAGTAGTGAAGACCTTTCTAATCATAGCACCAACACAGAACCCAGCAGGTATAAAAATGCTGATAAAAAGAGCACACTAACATGAAACATTTCTGAATGACAGAAAACAAAACCCAACAATCAACTCCCCCTCCCGAAAAAAAACCCGTAAAAAAGTTTTTTTTAAAGCCACAACTAGAAAAATATGTATCACATGTATCAGAAACAAGACAGCTTTTGTTCATATATACAAATCAAGAAGAGTGATAACAGAATTTTAAAAAAAGGAATGACACAGAATTCATAAAGAACAGACTACCTTTTAAATCATTAAAAAATGCTTGACATCACTTACAATAATAGAAATGCAAATTCAAACCACACTAGAATATTTTTCACCTGAGATTGTCAAAGGTTACAAAAATGAGAGTATGTGCTACTGGCAAGGGTGTGGTTCAAGCATTGCCACATGTTACTGGGAGATGAGCACAATCTCTTTAGAGGGAAACTGGAGCTCACCTTCTACTTACACTGTTGAATCCATGTACCAAGATATTTACAAGGATATTCACTGTAGCACTCCTAATAATGGCAAGATTAGAAAACAACTAACAGTCCTTCCAAAGAGAACTGATTAACTACATTATGTTAAATCCACACAATGGAATATTCTGCAATGGTTGAAAAAATCAGGTAGACCTCTATGAATCAATATGGCATAAACTAACAAGAGATGAAGTGGGAAAACCAGTGAAACAACATACGGTACGTGACTGTTATGTAAAAAAATAAAATGGACAGAATATTTCTAGGAGAGAAAACGTGGACACAACGGTGGCCTCTGGAGAGTGGCAGTGGGCAGTCACCTGGGGAGGGACACATGCTTGGCACTATACTGCTGTAGTTTTCAATCTTCAGTATTGTTTGCTTTAAAAAAAATCATGTGTAAGTATTACTTTTGGGGAAAAAATTATGTGAAAGAATATTAGTCCTACTATAATTCTGAGCAGTCCTAAAAAAATATACCATTAACGACAGAGAAGGGAGATAACCTTTTCTACTCCTAAAAGTAAAAATAATTTTTAGTAGGGGCGCCTGGGTGGCTCAGTCGGTTGAGCGTTGGACTTCGGTTCAGGTCATCATCTCGCGGTTTGTGGGTTTGAGCCCCGCCTCGGGCTCTGTGCTGACAGCTCAGAGCCTGGAGCCTGCTTCAGATTCTGTGTCTCCCTCTCTCTCTGTCCCTCACTCACTTGTGCTTTGTCTCTATCAAAAATAAATAAATGTAAAAAAATAATAATTTTTACTAGAGGCTATAAATTTTAAAGTTTTTTTGAGAGAGAGAAAGAGACAGACAGACAGAGAGGGAGGGAGGGAATATGAATCCCAAGCAGGCTCCTCACTGTCAGCCCAGAGCCCGATGCAGGGCTCGAACTCACGAACCCATGAGATCATGACCTGAGCCGAAATCAAGAGTCAGACGCCTAACCGACTAAGCCACCCAGTCGCCCCTAGATGCTATTAATTTTAAGATATAACAATTCTAGGGACAGATTATTAAAAACAAATCAAATATCTAGTTTAACTAAAGGTAGTACGTGAAATGAACCATACTGTGTTTTTCTAGGTTAAAATGTAAAATATAAAGCTTCAAAATAGGAAAGTAGCAAATTTCAAATTAAAAATACTGGTTCAAGTTTTTCTAACCAAAGAAGTCTAAAGGACACAGCAAAACTTTTCATCTTCCCAATCACTTGATTCTGGTTGAATCCAGTTTTGCCAAGTAGGCAGTATCTGAAGTAGATTGTAAAAATCAAACAAATGAAATTTTATCAGGTTAACCCAAAGCATACCAAATCCATAGGTTCCATAGTTTATAAGTACACAATACACAGTACGTTTCATTATCGTGTAGTGGGAAAAATTTAACACATACCTAGTTATCCCCGGTCTCTTGTTTTTAAGTACTAATACCATTTCAAAGAAAGGTGATAATATATATTATCTTTGAAATTAAAAAGACTGTTAAACAGTAAACAACTGGAAGCGAACTGAGACACGTGAAAAAAAAATTCAGTAACTCACGGTTCATCTCTAGACACAGGAATACTATGTAGCCATAAATAAGAGTAAAACAGCTTTTCATATTGATGTGGAATGATCTCTAAGACATGTTGTAAAGAAAAAAGTAGGAGGCCTAAGGGCGTAAAAATACACTACTTGTTTAAAAGCGATGAGAGGGAGGAAGAATTACATCTCTATTTGCTTGTGTGTGTTACATATATACTGTATTGCTTATGTAGGCAATACGGGTTCCTGGAAACAAGTATAAGAGATGGAACTGGGGAGAAGAGAGTGATTGGGATAGCAGTAGAAAGCCTTTTTACTGAATACCTGTGTCTGAATATTCGTATTGAATACTGAATACTTTTCAGTCTAGAACCATGTAAATATATAACCTACTCAAAATTAAAATTTAACAACTCAAAAACTTACATAAACATGTCTATCATGGTGCTATTCTGGAGTATCTATGACCTTTCTTTGCACGTTAAGATACTGATGCTTCTTGTCCCTTAAGGCAAGAACACGGCTTCATGTGCCCCGATCCAGTCTTATTTTAGAAACATACTTTAAGCACTATACTTACAGTTCCACCCATGTGGGGAGGCAGGTATTCTACACTGACATAGTCTTGGACTTCATTTTTACTTGCAAACTTCAACAAACTCACTGCTTCTGGTCCAAGCCAGGATTTCACAATTTTGAAAGCAGCTGAGGAAAAAACAGTCACTTCATTAAATCCATTGTCTTTCTCAATTAATTTACTGTATGTGCTAATGCAAGTCTTCTGATATCAGTTTGGGCTAAACTCTGTCAACAGGTATCTTTGTGGGTTCCAAATGTTCCAGGAAGAGTCAGGAAGACTGAGTCACCTTGATGTGCACCAAGAAACTTAACAGAGTTTTGGCCTCTCTACAAATCTGTCAATGATCCCAACCGCGAAGACTCCCAGACACGGAATCAAATAGTACTGTGATTTGAGGGATAACTATGCAAGAGTATGGAGAGAGTCATTTTTCCTTACACTTCTGATCAACGCCCAACCTGAAAGACCTCCTCAAATGGGAAGTCAAGAAGAGAAAGAAGTGGCTCTCCTTATTTATGGGTTTGAGCTACACTCAGACTTCCATCCCACCCCTAAACATCTCTGCCTTTCTCCCAAGCCCTGCAGCTTATTTAATCGTGAGGAACTCACGGAATCTGCAAGAATAAATCGTTATTAAACACAACTGTTTAGTAATTACAATCTTGTTCTTTCATGCCATTCTAATTTAGATTTAGTTTTTTTAAACCTTGTTTCCATTCTGACATTCGAAACACATTTTAAACAAATTAAGAGAGGAATCCTGCATTAAGTTTGCAAAAGCATCAATGAAAAAACATCAGGAAATCAAACAGTATGATAAAAATTAAATCCTGGTTCAGGAAACTGCATTTTTAGTTTGGCTAATTATGCTTAAATTTTATGTAATATTTACATTTTCCTTAATTTCGATTTAAAAAGTCTGTGAGATGACGTGTTTGAAGCTAGGTTACTTGAATTAACTAAAATGCTAAATCTGATTTTTTTATAATAGCTTTATTGAGATAATAATTCGCATACCATAAAATTCACCCCTTTCAAGTATGCACTTCGATGGTTTTTGGTGTATTTAGATAGTTTTATAACCATCCCCACTACCTAATTTTATTTATTTTAGACAGAGGGAGAGAGAGAGAGAGAGAGAGCACGCACACGAATGGGAGAGAGGAACAGAGGGGGAGACAGAGAGAGAGTCTTAAGCAGGCTCTGCACTCAGCGCAGAGCCTGCCGTGGGGCTGGATCCCATGATCCTGCGATCATGACCTGACCCGAAAGAGAGTAAGATGCTCAAACGACTGAGCCAGCCAGGCACACACCCCCCACTATCTAATTTTAGAATGTGTTTGTAACACCAAAAAGAAACCCCTATCTATAAACAATCTCTCTTTACCCTCCCTCTCCCATTCCTGGGCAACCACTGATCTACTTTCTGGATTGGCCTGTTGTGGATATTGCACATAAATGGAATCATACAACACGTGGTTTTTCTAACTGGCTTTGTTCACGCAGCATGTGTTCAAGGTTCCTCTGTGATGTAGCATGTATCAGTACGTAATTCCTTTTTATGGCCGAATAATTTTCCGTTTTATGGATCTACAACATTTGTTTATCCATTCATCAACAGATAAACATTTGAGTACTTTCCACTTGACTATCATGAAGAATAGTGCTATGAAGATCTGTGTGCAAGCTTTTGTGTAGACACATGCTTTCAATTCTTTTGGGAACGTACCTAGGGATGGAACTGCTTAATTATATGGTACTTCTATGTTTAACTTTTTGAGGAGTCGCCAAACTGCTTTCCAGAGTGGCCCCATCATTTTACATTCTCACCAGTAATGTATGAGGGTTCCAATGTCTCCACATCCTCAACACGTCTTTTCGATCACAGCCATCCGAGCTGGTGTGAATTAGTATCTCATTTGGTTTTGACTTGTAGTTCTCTCATGACTAATGATGTTGAGCATCTTTTTATGTGTTTATTGCCCATTTGCCTATCTTTGGAGAAATGTCTATTTAAATCTTTTGCCCTTTTTAATGGGGCCATTTGTCTTTTTATTGCAGTGTTGTAAAAGCTATTTATATATTCTAGACATAAGTCCCTTATCAGATGCACGATTTGTAAATATTTTCTTCCATTCTGAGAGCTGTCTTTTCACGTTTTGGCTGGTGTCGTTTGAAGCACAAAATTTGAAATTTTAATGAAGTCCAATGTATCTATTCTTTTCTTTTGTTGCTTGTGCTTTTTTTGGTGTCATATCTAAGCAACCACTGCCTAATGCAAGGCCACAAAGATTTATTCCTATGGTTCCAAGGTTTACAGTTCTAATTCTTATATTTAGGTCTCTGATCATCCATTTTGAACTAATTTTTGTATGTGAAGGGAGGTAGAGGTCCAACTTCATTCTTGTGAATGTGGATAGTCGGTTGTCCCAGTATCATTTATTACAAAGACTATTCTTTCTTGAGAGAGATCTTGGGAGACAGTGGCAGAGTAGGAGCACCGTAGGCTCGCCTCATCCCACAGACACAACTAGATAACTACCAAATCATCCTAAATGCCCCATCAATGGATCTGAAGGCTGGCAGAACAAACTGCAACTAAAGGTAGAGAAGAAGCCACATCGAAGAAGGTAGAATGTAGGGAGACCTGGCTTGGGAGAGAAATGGATCACGGCTGCTTCAGTGGGAAGAGAACCTCAGTCATGGAGAAGGGCAGGTTAGAGAGAGAGAGTGCGTGTTCGCGACAGAGAGGCAGACAGACCAGCACACAGGGGAGCACATGGGGAAAACAAACATGTACAGCAACTGACTTGGAAAGTGAGAGGGCCTGAATTTTGTGAGTTCTCACAACCAGTGGGGCTTAAAGCCTGGAGTTTTAAAGGTCAGCATGCTTGGCTCTGGGAGAGCTCAGAGGACACTGGGGCTCTTCGTGGAGAGAAGGCAGGGCAAACAGGCCATGGACATACAGCGAGGAAAAAGTGATCTGAAGAGCGCCTGGGGCACAGAGTGCAAAGGTTATTCGCTCATCTAGGAGCATGTTTCCGAGGGGCAGCATTCATGAAGAGATCCCTTCTGGAACAAAGAAACTGCTAAGTATCATTTTATTGCCCTGCCCCAGCGGAAGCCCAGGGCCACCTGTAGGAAGCAGTGCAGTGCTGACACTTGCTACTTAATTTGCTTACACCAACCTCCTCCACATCGCTGCGCTTTAGAAGAACCATCCTTCCGAGTCATGCTTGCCTAAGTCCCGGGTCAGCAGGACCCTTTCCCTAGAGGACCGGCCCAAAGCCCTGCCAACATGGTGTCTCCTGACCCAGGAGTTTTGTGAGGCCTCGGATCTGCTAGTGGCAGCAACAGGTCTCATTTCACAAGCAGACCAGAACATACCTAGTTTAAATGTGCCACATTCAGGCCAGATACCAAAAACTGCCCACAGCAGGCAAAGAGAGTCTCTGCAAATGACTGGCCTGAGGATAAAGCAGCCAGGACACAACAGCAGAGCACACAGAGCACACACTGGAGACAGTCCCAGGAGCACCGGGCCCGGGACACTTAGACAGCAGGGCACCACGGGGCCTCTTCTTCATAAAGCCATCACCCTCAAGGACAGGAGACGGAGCTGCCTTTCCTAACACACAGAAACAGGCACCGAGACTTGGCCAAAATAAGAAGACAGAGAACAGGACAAGGCCACGGCTATGGCCAGAGATCTAAGTGAAACAGATATAAGTAACGTGCCTGATGGAGAATTTAAAGCACTGATCGCAAGGATACTCACTGGACTTGAGAAAAGAGTGGAAGGCATCAGTGAGACCATTAACACAGAGATAAGGAATAACAAAGCAGAGATAAAGGGCTCAATAAATGAAGTGAGAAACACACTTGATGGAAATGAACAGCAGCAGGCTGGAGGAAGCAGAGGAACCAATTCGTGACCTAGAAGTTGGAGTAATGGAAAACAGTCAAGATGAACAAAAGAGAAAAAAAAAAGAACTACGCAAAATGAGAATAGACTTAGGGAACTCAGTGACTCCATCAAACATAATAATACTTATATTATAGGAATCCCGGAAGAAGAAAGAGGAAAGGGGGCAGAGAATTTATGTGAAGAAATAATAGCTGAAAACTTCCCTAATCTGGGGAGGGAAACAGATATCCAGATCCAGGTGGCACAGAGAACCCCCCCCCCAAAAAAAATTAACAAAAGCAGACCCACACCAAGACATATTGTAATTAAAATGGGAAATATGCTGATAAAGAAAGAATATTAAAAGCAGCAAGACAAAAGAATATAGTTACATACAAAGAAAACCCCATAAAGGTATCAGTGGCTTTTTCGGCAGAAACTTTCTAAGCCAGAAACGGGTGATATGATACATTCAAAGTGCTGAATGAGAAAAACCTGCAGCCAAGAATAATCTATCCAGCAAGGTTATCATTCAGAATAGAAGGAGAAATAAAGAGTTTCCCACACAAACAAAAACTAAAGGAGTTCATGACCACTAACCGAGCGAGCCCTGCAAGAAATATTAAGGGGACTCCAAGTGGAAAGAAGAGATCGAAAGTGACAGTATAAAGGTAGGAAACACGAAAGCAGTAAAAATGAGTATTTCTGTAGAAAATCAGTCAATGAGCTCATAAAATAAAAGGATGTAAAATATGGCAACATATACCCAAAAGAGGGGGAGTAGAGGAGGAAAGAATGGGTTCAAACTTAAATGACCATCAACTGAATAAAGGCTGCTATGTGCAGAAGAGGTCATATTTAAACATAATGGGAACTACAAATCAAAAACCACTAATAAATATGGAAACAATAAAGAGAAAGAAATCCATATATACCACTAAAGAAAACCAGCAAATCATGAAAGAAAGACAAGAAAGGATCAGAGAAAATCTGCAAGAACAACCACGAAACAAGTAATAAAACGGCAATAAATACATAACTATGAATAATTTCATTGAATGTAAATGGACTAAATGCTCCAATCAAAAGACACAGGGTGACAATGAATAAACAAGACCCATCTATATGCTGCCTACAAGAGACTCGTTTTAGACCTAAAGACCCCTGCAGATTCAAAGTGAGGGGATGGAGAAACACATTTGTCATGCAAGTGGATGTCAAAAGAAATCTGGAGTAGCAATACTTATACTGGACAAACTAGACTTTAAAACAAAGACTGTAACAAGAGATGAAGAAGGGCATTATATAATCATAAAGGGGATAACCCAAGAAGAAGAAATAACAATTGTAAATATTTATGCACCCAGCATGAAGCTCCCAAGTACATAAAACAGTTAATAAGAAACATAATGGAACTAACATAATAATATAATAGTAGAGGATTTTAACATCCCACTTATATTAATGGGCAAATCATGTACACAGAAAATGAACACAGAAACAATGGCTTTGAGTAATACACTGGACCAAATGGATTTAACAGACACATTCAGAACATTCCATCCTACAACAGCAGAATACACATTCTTTTCGAGTGCATATGTAAAATTCTCCAGAAGAGATCACATATTAGGCCAGAAAACAAGACTCAACAAATTCAAGAAGATTGAAGTCCTATCATGCATCTTTTCTGACCACAGTGCTATGAAATCAGAAGTCAACCACAAGAAAAAATTTGGAAAGACCACAAATACATTCAGGTTAAATAACATGTTACTCAACAATGAATGGGTCAACCAGGAAATCAAAGAAATACAAAAGTACATGGAAACAAATGAAAATGAAAACACAAGGATTCAAAACCTTTGGGACACAGCAAAAATGGTTCTAAGAGGGAAGTTTATAGCAATACAAGTCCACCTCAAGGCAAGAAAATTTACAAATAAAAAACCTGACCTTACACCTAAAGGAGCTGGAAAAATAACAAAGAGAGCCTAAAACCAATAGAAGGAAAGAAAGAACAAAGATCAGAGCAGAAACAAATGATATAGAAATGAAAACGAACCTAAAAAACAAAACCAAAACATAATATAACAGATCAATGAAACCAGAAGCTGGTTCTTTGAAGAGTCCAGTGAAACTGCTAAACCTCTAGCCAGACTTAACAAGAAAAAAAGAGAAAGGATCCAAATACATAAAAATCACAAACAAAAGAGGATAAATAACAATAAACACCACAAAAATACAAACAATTATAAGAGAACATTATGAAAAACTATATGCCAGCAAATTGGATGACCTAGAAGAACATTCCTAGAAACATATAACCTACCAAAACTGAAACAGGAATAGAAAATTTGAATAGACAGATTATCACCAAAGAAATTGAATCAGTAATCAAAAACTTCCCAGTAAACAAAAGTTCAGGACCAGATGGCTTCACTGGTGAATTCTACCAAACATTTAAAGAAGAGTTAATAATTATTCTTAAACTACTCCAAAAAAACATAAGAAGGAAAATTTCCAAATTAACCCAATGAGGCCAGTATTACCCTGATACCAAAACCAGATAAAGATACCACTAAAAAAGAGCTACAGGCCAATATCACTGATGAACACAGATGCAAAAATCCTCAATAAAAAACTAGCAAACCAAATTCAACAATACATTTAAAAAAAATCATTCACCACGATCAAGTGCGATTCATGCCTGGGTTGCAAGGATGGCTCTATATTCACAAATCAATCAACGTGATACATCATATCAATAAAAGAGCCATATGATCATTTCAAGAGGATAGAAAAAGCATTTGACAAGGTACAACATCCATTCATTGCTAAAAATCCTCAACAAAGTTAGTTTAGAGGCAACGAACATACCTTAACATAACGAAGACCATATATAAAACCCACAGCTAACATCATACTCAACGGTGAAAAACTCAGAGCCTTTCCCTTAAGGTTAGGAGTAAGATAAGGATGTCCACTCTAGCCACTTTCATTCAACATAGTACTGGAAGTCCTAACCACAGCAATCAGACCACAAAAAGAAATAAACGGCATCCAAACTGGCAAGGGAGAAGTAAAACTCTATTTGCAGATGACATGGTACTATATATAGAAAACCCAAAAGACTCCACGAAAAAACTGCTAGAATTGATAAACGAATTCATTAAAGTCACAGGATACAAAACCAATGTAGAGAATTCTGTTGCATTTCTATACACCAATAAAGAAGCAGCAGAAAGAGAAATTAAGAAAACAATCCCATTTACAACTGCACTGAAGATATTAAGATACTTAGGAATAAACTTAACCAAAGAGGTCAAAGACCTGTATTCTGAAAACTATAAAACACTGATGAAAGAAATGAAAGATGACACAAAGAAATGGAAAGAAATTCCATGCTCATGGATTAAAAGAATAAATATTGTTAAAATATCTATACTACCCAAAGCAATCTACACATTTAACCTAATCCCTACCAAAGTACCAACAGCATTTTTCACAGTAGAACAAATATTAAATTTGTGTGGAACAACAAAAGACCCTGAAAAGCCAAAGCAATCTTGAGAAAGAAAAGCAAAGGTGGAGGCATCACAATTGTGGACTTCAAGTTATATTACAAAGATGTAGTGATCAAAACAGTATGGTACTGGCACAAATACACACACATTGATCAATAGAACAGAACACAAAATCCAGAAACAAACCCACAATTATATGGTCAATTAATCTTCAACAAAGCAGGAAAGAATATCCAATGGGAAAAAGATGGTTTATTGAAGAAATGTTGGGAAAACTGGACAGCTACATGCAGAACAATGAAACAGGACCACCTTCTTATACCATACACAAAAATAAATTTAAAATGGATTGAAGACCTAAATGTGAGGCCCTGAAACCATAAAAATCCTAGAATAGAATACAGGCAGTAACTTCTGTGACATCAGCTGTAGCAACTTTTTCCTAGACAGGTCCCCTAAGGCAAGGGAAATAAAAGCAAAACTAAACAATTGGGACCACACCAAAATAAAAAGCTCTGCACAGCAAAGGAAACAATCAACAAAACTGAAAGGCAAATAATCTGCTGAATGGGGAGAAGATATTTGCAAATGACCTCTCTAATAACGGGTTCGTATCCAACATATATAAAGAACTTCTAAAACTCAACACCCAAAAAACAAATAATCCAATTAAAAATGGGCAGAAGACATGAATAGCCATTTCTCCAAGGAAGACATCCAGATGGCCAACAGGCACATGAAAAGATGCTCAACATCACTCATCATCAGGGAGATGCAAATCAAAACGATAATGAGATACCACCTTATACCTGTCAGAATGGCTAAAATAAAAAACACAAGAAAGAGCAAGTGTTGGTGAGGATGTGGAGAAAAAGGAACCCTTATGCGATGGTGGGAATGCAAACTGGTGCAGCCACTGTAAAAAAACAGTATGGAGGTTCCTCATAAAGTTATAAATGGAACTACCCCGGGGCGCCTTGGTGGCTCAGTCGGTTAAGCGTGTGACTTCGGCTCAGGTCATGATCTCATGTTTCATGGGCTTGAGCCCTGCGACGGGCTCTGTGCTGACAGCTCAGAGCCTGGAGCTTTCTTTGGATTCTGTGTCTCCCTCTCTCTCTGCCCCTCCCCTGCTCCTGCTCTCTCTCAAAAATAAATACCCGTGAAAAAAAAGAAAAAAATGGAACTACCCTGTGATCCAGAAATCACACCACTATTTACCCAAAGAATACAAAAACGCTAACTCAAAGGGATATATGCACCCTGATGTTTATAACAGTATTATATAATCACATTAGAGTTGGTAAAGAATGTTTTTCAATGCTTTAACAATTTTTTTTTCACCACAAAATGTATCATGACTGTCTTATTAAGTGACTATAGCAATTTGGAGTGCATTTCAGATTCATCCCACCTTCTTCCTCAATGCCCGAAACCCATGAGAAAACCTAGCAAAGGCCTATGTTCTGTGACATACCCCATCCGTGTGTGACAAACTGAGGCTCCTGGCTCTAGTTTCACCTGAATGGTTGAACATCTTGATGCTGTTTTTAGAGAAGACTAATGTGTATCCCCAGAGCCTGGGGCTAGAATGTTAACTGAGTTTGCTTAGGAATCGTCTTTGAATGTTCCAGCTCCGGCCTCTTAAAGAGCATACAACAAGCACAACATAAATTTTTTTTAAACAACCACAGAAATATGGCTACATTGGGAAAAAGGAAATCAGACATTTCGTTTTAGCGAAGTATAAATAATATACTCACCATTCATTATCCAAGGCATATCAAAGATCACCATTTTTGCTTAAAGACAAAAAAAAATTCAATGAATGTGATTTAGTATCACTATAGTATTATCACTTATACCTGGACTAGAAAAAGCTGGTGATCTAAATGTAACTAAACACTGAGCTGGTTGACTCAGTTCTGATTCGGTGACGTGTGAGTGGTGCTCAAACCAAATTAACTTCTCACTGATGAGGGGCCCGCTCAGGGTGGCTTTTGGGAAATCAACAATGCGCTATCATTGTCCTTTGGCAAACAGTCTGTTCTTTTGTTCGTTTGTGGCTTTTGCTGTTTGCAGAAAGGTACAAAATAAATAAGTGGGTAACCGGAGTCTTTGGATGTGGTATGTCATATTAGTGCCGATGTACAGTGAACTTTAGGAATGACCTCAATGTAATTTATTGGTTCTGACAATTTTCTAGAGATTACATTGTAAAACCACTTACACGTTTTCCCCTCACCCCAATTTTAATGCATCATTATGTTTTAAGAAAGGCAAATTACTTATACTTTTCTTCATATTATGAGCCCCAGGAAGCCAATAATTCCCAAAGTATACAGAAGTATTATTTGCATATTTAGAAGACCTAAACAGCCCTATTAACAATTACAAGAACCAGAAATCACAAAGGGAATTCTTGATACCTAATTCATTCTATTCCAAATGAATCAAAATGTAATTTCATTCTTCTCTGAGCAGAGAAGCTCCGAGAATGGTTATATTAATGTAGGACAAGTAAAGTACATGTAAGAAACAAGGTATCTTCAAAGAGGTACCCTGGAGCTTAATAACCTCAGTCTTCATCTGTGATATGCCTAAAAAGATCTGGACTTAAGATTTTAAGAAATAATGGTTGTATTTCATGACAGATTTTGAAGCATAACCAATTTAAGATTCTATAAAATTTAATGTCTGCAAAATTACATTATGTAGGTAAAATACATGCATTACCTCTACTTAATTGGAACGAAGTGTTTCAATTCATCTTTATATAGGCCCATGAATTCATTAATAGTTTTCTCAAAAGAATCTTAGATGTGTTTTATAAGGTAATAATGGTATTTATACTATTGATAAATGGCTCTTCACAAACTTAGATATTTCAGTAAACAAGTAGATATTTTATTTTCATGTTTTACATAAGAGGAACAAACTAATCATATGGGGTAGTGACGCCCTATTGACCACTGATTGGCACTGCTCAGTAAAATGAATCGGGGTATGTGGTGGATCCAGAAAGAATTCAGAAGGAATGGCAGATCCTCCAGGTTTCCCAGACCAAATAGTCTCTTTACCTAAAAAGGTTCATGAGGACCCTCTCTGAAGACATGAGAGCATAGGGGTAGGAGTGGCAATGATCCTCCAACTCCATCATGCTTTTTGTCTGTTCCTTACTTCACATTAATAATATGAAAGCACATCAAAGTAAGATGATTTAGGGGTTTTATGCTTTTGTATCACCTAAGTCATGAGTCCCCAAAGGCCCTAATTATGGTATCTGCCAGGGGTGTGCCCAGGAAGACCTGTGAGTTTCCATTTTCTGATATCCTTGTTGTCTCTCTCCTGCGTTTTTTACTTTGAGCCCACTGGAATTCAAATATATGACTGTTGGGGCGCCTGGGTGGCTCAGTCAGAAGCATCAGACTCTTGGTTTCGGCTCAAGTCATGACCTCATGGTTGGTGAGTTTGAGCCCTACGTCTGGCTCTGTGCTGACAGCGAGGAGCCTGCTTGGGATTCTCACTCTCCTTCTCTCTCTCTCTCCCCCTTCCCTGCTCTCACACACACACGTGCCCTCTCTCTCAAAATAAATAAGTAAACATTTAAAAAATACATAGATATGACTATTTATGTGGGATAGTGTCTTCATTTCTCCAGAGGCAAACCACCATATAAATCCAAGAAATCAATGAATCAAAATGGGTACCTAAGATTTACGTGTTCTTCATTCAGGTAATTAATGCAAGAATCACAAAAACAAATTCTAAATTAAAATGTAGTCTACTGTTTTCTTAATGATAGTTTTTAAACAGCAATTAGTAATACAGTGTATTTTATGCATGAGTACTGCTTATCACACATATACTTTATTTCTCAGTATTGTTTATCTGTTTCTTGCATGTAAGAAGTTCCATATAATAAATATCATTTTAAATGAGTTTTTCATTGAAAGATGAATAAAAATGGGAAATCTTGGAAATAAAGGTATGTTTTATGTCCCCATGTATGTGTGTGTGTTACAGGATGCAGTATATACAGTTTCGAATTTAAATTCTTAAAACTGTAAAGGACAATGATTATGAAAAATTTCCTTTATATCTACTAGGATACGCACTTAAACTTCTATGCACACATTTAAGTTCTTCATCAGAATATAAAACTTCAGGTATTAAAGTCTATAGTAACATAAAGCAATCTCAGTCACTGTCTATAGTTTCTATACATTATATTTTTATAAAGGAGTTAGTTACTTACAGAGGTATTTAGGGTAATAAACCTTAAAGCAGTTGATGATAAAGCGCACAAAGTCCATGTCCTAAAACACAGATTATACATTTAAAGCTTTAAGACTATCCACATTAGGGAGCTTTAAATTGCACACTTCCAAAGGTGATAAACTATTAAATACAAATGAGACAATTATTAAATTGTGTAAAAAATAAGCTCATATATAAATATATTCTCAGAGGTTAAGGTTTTAAGTCATTAAGCTACTTATAATAATCAGTCCTAATATCCAGTGAAAGAATTCAGACACTTAAACATCATTCATGTTATTTCCAACTAGTGAGATATGCAGGCTAAGGTAACATGGCATTATAAAGCAGATCGAAAGCAATCCCTACAGAGAAATTCTAAAAATCTGTTGAACAGTTAAAGAATTACTGAAACGAGCATACCGTTTACAACTTTACTACTTGCAATGATAATACATATAACCTATCAATTCTGGTATATTTGCTTTTTACACCTAATTTCTACACCTTGTAATAGCTTTAGTAAAATACGTTTTATCAATCTCTTACACAACAGCTAATCTGATCATACTGGTGTGCTGTATGTACTTCACTGCTAACTTCTTTCCTCTTATTTAGAGACCCAGAGGCAGAATTTTTTAGTTTACATTCGAGTGTTGTTCATGGACTCCAATCCCTGGAAAACTTTATGAACATAATTGTCTGTTGCTTCTCCTGCACCGAACACAGCCAACATGAAATTTGGTTATGAGGGTTACTATTCACATGGATCGTTTCATTCCGTGTCATTCCCTGGCTGCAAGCTGATTTACTAATCCTGACTGGCCATCTTAGAAGGGCTGTAGAATGAAAGATAACTCTGCAAATTTAAATCCATCAGTTACTGAAAGGTGAGCTGTCCCATAGATGAGTCTATAAAGTCATTCCTAGCATGTGAGTTAGAGTATCTTTAACTTCAGCAAACTGAAAAGTAAGCACCTTTAACTATCTTCAGTATTCATTATGGAATAAACCCTAGTATATAATGGTAACTTTATAACTAGTCATTATATCCATTGTGCACCGAGGTAAATAATTTGTATTTAAGAGTCAAAGAAATATCTCGAAATAACGAGTTATATAAAAATTTGGTTACCTGTATATGATCTGTGGCCCCCAGAGACTCTGCCAAAAGTCTTTATCTAAGATTCTTGCTTTCATCTTTTAAATGGATAGCGTTGCGTATAAAATCCCAAGTTACTGCTAATTCAAGTGGATTCGATGGGATGCCACTGGTGAAGTATATTAGTGGGTGCTACATTAAAAAGCTCCATGAAACCTGGTGCTCTGCATTCTGTGAGGATGTCTTCAAGGACTGTTTATTATCTTGTAAAATGTCCTCCCTTTGGGGATCCAAGAAATACTTTTCTTTCTAGTTCAAGTATCAGGAATGAATACACTTCTCCTAAGACACTGGTTTTAAAGTGTGGCCACTGAATAATTTTAAACGATTCCATTTCTTTCAGGCAGGCCACTGAAAGACTGAAGCCCGATTAGTGGCCCAACTCTAACAAATAACTTTTAGCTTTTTTTGCCTTGTAATTCTGCATACATGTTTATAAGCCAACTTAAATCCTTTGTGAATCATGAGGAAGTCATATATAAAAATATCTAAATTAAGGGACACCTGGGTGCCTCAGTTGGTTAAGCGTCTGTCTCTTGACTTCAGCTCAGGTCATAATCTCACGATTTGTGAGACTGGGCCCTGTGTTGGGCTCTGTGCTGACAGCTCAGATCATGATCTCATGGTTCATGAGTTCAAGCCCTGCATCAGGATCTTCGCTGACAGCACGGAGCCTGCTTTGGATTCTGTCTCCCTCTCTCTCTGCCCCTCCCCAGCTCACACTCTGTCTCTCTCTCTCTCTCAAAAATAAACTTCGAAAAAAAATTAAAAAAAAAAAAAGATTTCCAGGAGTTAACCACCAGGCAATGAGTACGAATATGTATACTTTAAGGTTCTTAACATACTTTGCCAAGTGGATTTTCGAAAAGGTTTCAATGTCGCCCCAGGGAGGTGTGTGGATGCTCCTTCACCGCTACCAGAAGGAGCTAAGGTTTGAACGTAAGAGACAACAACAGCTATGATAAATGTGCCAAGGTGGCCCCATCACCGCTGAAGGGTTCGGAGTTACCGCTGAGGTCACGCAAGGACCCCAATTAAAGACTGGTGGGTTTTACTTATTTTTTAAGCTTGGCAAAATCCCCTGAAGAAAACGGGTCTTCAAAGCTAACCAAATCAAACAAAAACCCCAACGAGGTGACCAATTGCTGTATGTGCAAAAGTCAGGTGAGCACCTCACAACTGCCAAGCATCGTATGAATCTGATGGTATTAAAGAGAGCGTACCTTACTTCACTCCCTATTTGAGTGTATTACTCTGTGCCAGGCACAGGGTTACGTGCCGTAGGATATTAATTCTGACAGAAGAGTTCACTGTTACCACTTCTGCTCATGACCCTGCCAGCCTCGATGTCCTACCTTGACATTGTGTGTATCAGACGAGGAGCATTCCTAGGAAGTACACAGTTTCAGTGCCAAACACTGAAGCAAATTTATTTCTCCACAAATCCTATTTCATGTCTGACTTCACTCACGATACGGAAGGCAAAAAATAAATCCCAAACATAACTTGGTTAGCTCAAACTTGCAGCGATGTCTGGTTGGGAAGAGTGGCAGGGAGAACATAATGATAAATAAGGCTTTGGAATTAAAGAAATGCTTACAATGCTATTTATTCCAGTTTCTGACAGGTCAAACATCACTGTTACAGGTTTCCCATTTTCTCTTTTAGCATAACGTTCCAACCAGAATGCGATAAGCTTCTTTTTGTCCAGTGTGGTTTTATGGTCTTTTATGTGATACTTCACCCTGATCCAGACTTTTAACAGAACACGGGATATAAATAAGAAAAATATTTGTCATTATATTATTTTATGCATATATCATTCCTATCCCTTGACATTTTTCTTCATTTACAATAAATTTTCTTTCTCACGTTAAAAACATCACTTCCTTCTTTTCAACGGGAAATAGCGTGCACTTGGGAACCTTAGGGAGGAGCAGAGATGTAAACTATTCTCCCCTCGTAGGAAATAAACAAACTTCCCTAGTAAGTAAAGGGGAAGAGAAAATACAACAAACAATATTTGGTAATAACCTAAAAGTACTCTTCACCTTGCTTAACCAAAAAGCAAGCCAGTGGTTCTCTGGAGCACTAGAAAAGACCTTCCATGCGGAGCAGCAGCTTAGACAGAGGCTGGAGTCCAGTCAGGGCTGGGAGCCGCAAACCACTCAGAGCACTGTGGCTGGGACAGGCTGTGGCGAGTGCTGGGAAGAGGCGCTAAGGAGACAAGGGCTGGGCTGAAAGGGCTCCCAACGAAATGCTAAGGTAGCTGGGGCCCGGGGACGGTGTGGGGTCACCACTCCTCGTGGAGAGGCAAGGTACTTGAGATCACCCAAGGGGACTGTATTGCTGTAAAGTAAAAGACGCCAAGCAAGGAATGAAGTACGGGACGCATGTGGAAAGGACAGCGGAATGACAGGAATGAGGAATGAAGACAGGGAAGGAAGGACTGCCAGCCAAAGGAGGGAAATGCTAGAATACTGTTAAAACTGGACCAGACTGCATGCCGCATAGAGGGCAAGCAAGCCAAGTGCTCAGGGTGCGGCTCTGATGTTCTTGCCAAGTCCCAGCCTTGGCACCAACCAAGCTGGATTTAGGGTCAGGGCGGGGGCGGGGGTGGGGGAGGGGGGGAGGGAGAGGGGTAACAGGGGGGTCACCGGGACAGCAGGGGTGGTCCTTAACGCTCCTCCTGCTATAGCAGATTTCACAAGAAGCTAAGGGGAGAAGGTGGGGGCAGGGCCTTGAAAAGTCCATTCAGCAACCCTTAGCGACTTGAAATTTGCCTTTACCGCTTTATCATAATGCCAACAGACCACACAATGAAGTGTCTGACGCTGTGTCAACACGGCCCTAATGATCCCCAATTGTAAGGAACTTGATGTGTGGTACATACGGAGAAGGTTCTGACTGTTATTAATTCAGCTGACATAAATGCATCTCAAAATCTTGACAAGCCAGTACGTCAATTCAATATACTTACACAACTTGTTGCCTTCTTTGTCATAACCGTGCAGATAAATACCACCTATTTCCAATAACCATCTGGGAATGGAAGATTCAGTGAGGTCTAAAAAAGGATAAACCTGATGAGTAACTTTAACTTAGGAGCGTTTTAAAGAGAAAACTTACAATGTAGGGGCGCCTGGGTGGCTCAGTCGGTTAAGTGTCTGACTTCAGCTCAGGTCATGATCTCACAGTTCGTGGGCTGGAGCTCCACATGGGGCTCTGTGCTGTCAGCTCAGAGCCCACTTCAGATCCTCTGTCCCTCTCTCTCTGACCCTCCCCTGCTCATTCTCTCTCAAAATAAATAAACTTAAAAAAAAACTTGTAACGTAAAGGTTAATGTTATATAGTAGGTCTGATACAAAAAAAAAAAAGACAAGCTTATTCAGACATCTGGAAAGAATCTCTGGCAATAAAAAATTTTTTCCTTACTAACTAAACAAACCAACTAAAGACATGGATGAGAGAAATGGGGAAAAATCCATTTCCCTTGACACATCATCCATTATTATATGGACACATTTCCATGTTTTGGTTGTTTCATATAATAACTGTCAACAAATACTATCACTATTGGGACAATTTCAAGATAACATGCTAGTAAATATCCACATTATAGTCTCAGAATTGATTTAAAAAATCACTATGGCTTCTCTAGTAAATTATTTTTCTGTAAAGTTTGATATCAAGTAGAGTCTAACACATTTTATAATCTTAGGGTGAGTGGAAAATACTTCAAAAAAAAAAAAAAAAAGCTAGATCCTTTAGCAGGACAAACAAAACAAGGTCTGCCCAGTCTGTAATGAGGGTAAGAACCAACACAGCAAGGCAGCAAATGCCAAGGCTTTTGTTTCATTCACCCTGAGAACTTTCCAAGATTCGTTACCTTTTTTCTGTACCATTTACCGTATCTCTGCTATTTGCCACCGGAAACTAGCAGTTCTATATAAGAAAAAACTAATGTTGAGTTTAAAAGTTTATTCTGAACTTAAATAATTTCTATTTCTTTGCCGGAATTTTAAATGCATCACTGTTCATTGAAATGACCTACAGTTTTTACATTTCCAATCAAACTATCTCTTAAATACCACCCTCTGCTTCCTAGATTCTTTCTACAAGTATGAAGACTGGGGAGAGTATCTGCTCTGGATTTATTTGTTGACTTTTTTTGTCTTAACTTTCCAGACTCACTCACTCCAGAGTTTGTTACTCTCAAGGTCAGGAAATCCTTCTCAGTACCTCATCAAAACCAGTAGTTATGGGGGCACCTGGGTGGCTCAGTCGGTTAAGCGTCCGACTTCAGCTCAGGTCATGATCTCACGGTCTGTGAGTTCGGGCCCCGCGCCGGCCTCTGTGCTGACAGCTCAGAGCCTGAAGCCTGCTTCGGATTCTGTGTCTCCCTCTCTCTCTGACCCTGCCCCGTTCATGCTCTGTCTCTGTCTCAAAAATAAACAAACATTAAAAAAATTTTTTTAAAAACCGCAGTGGTTATGCCATATTCTTTGTGTTAAATTTTTAGGACAGACATCATGGGTAATTTTCCTGTGAAGGTTGCTTCATCTACTTGGAAGACTATTTAAAAACCCCTTCCAGGAGTTAAAACCCATTTTTTGGGGCAAAATGTCCATCTAGAATTGGGTCTTGAAATCAAGAAGTTAAGCAAAGGCTGCTATAGGCATCCTTGGGGATAAGCCTGTTTTAGGGATCCCCCAATCATTTAGTAATGCAACAGGGAGCACCTATTAGCACAGGAACTCAGGGACAGAGAGAGACAATAAGGCAATAATGAAAAACAAAAAACAAAAAAACCCAAACTAGGAAAACAGTATCTCCTTACCTCTAGGCCTAGTAGTGAAGATGCTGTCTTGCTATTGTTCAATGGTACCCAACTAAATAAGCGCAGATTAACTCTGTTCGGGGTCAAAGAATCTGAATGTAATTTTGCTCTCCAGTGATCTCATTTCCCTATGAATGATACTGCTTTTAAGACATTCATAAGATGCTCCCCGTCAAAGTGTCAGTGGGTTGTCATAAAACACTCTATTTTGGTGTTTTTGATGGTTGCCAAAAATATCTGCAAATACACTATTTGATAAATGTAAAACTAACACTTATGCAGGGCACAGTATATTGTCGAGGTTAAATTGAACGGCTTACCGTTGACAGACATTTCTTTCCTCCACTGAAAACTCTCATCAAGCATCTTCAGTGTTTCATCGACATTATTATGCCTCCAAAGTAAGTAACTTTCAACCCAGTTATCATCTTGTTGTAGCCTTTCAACATCACGTGGATCATATTTATCTGACTTATCTAAGGAAAAACAATAATAAATGGCCAAGTCAGATAAATTCTGCACTGAGGAATACCAAACGCTAATGCCAAAGGAGAAGAAAGATGTACAAGACAAGGCTAAGCTCCAGAAGATAGCTACTTGAAGGGTGCAGTTCAGATGAAAATGCAGTTTAAAGGAGTGATGGCATTTGTAATTGAGAGGAGAATAAAGTTATCCAAGGATGGCAAGTTTACTTTAAATGTGCCACAGTAGAATTAAAAAATAAGACCACAGTCAAATATTTTGCTGTTTCATTATGTTACCTGAACTTGAAATCCTTACCCTAGTCAATGAAAAGATGAAGTTTTTTATGTAAAGAAAAAAACTGTGCTTAAGAAGACATTTGTTTGGCAATGCTTGTTGAAAAAAATGAAATACAAAATGGAAAACTGACCATGTGTGCAGCAGTCAACGTTTCCCATAATTGACTGGAGTAACTGTTTCCAATAATTTCCCATCATCCACCTGCACATGTGCTATGGTATCTTCCACATTTTGGTCCATTTTTCTGTAACTGACCCGTGTCTCCTCACAACCACCTATGCACATCCAGGTTCTGCCATTCTGCAAGACTTCTTTCAAATGCTTCCTCTTCCACAAAAATTTCCCTGAGCCCAGAAGTAATTCCTTCCCTCCTGGGAACAGCTACAGGACTTAAACTGGGCTTTTTTTTTTTTTAAAGGCATTTAGCATGTTTTCGTTCCGATCAGAGTTACTGGCATACATGCTGTATCTTCCCACACAGGGACTGTGTGTAGCAGCACCATCTATCCATTTTAGGAGTCCTCCAAAGCAGACTACACTGGTGCCAATGAAAAGGCCTCCAGGAAACATTTGTTGAGCGAATCTGTTCCTTCTCTATTTTTATTATCTCAGCTAATGGTACCCTCCCAGGGGCCCAAGTGAGAACTTCAGAAAATTCCCTGGCTCCTTCATCTCCATTTTTTTTTTTTTTTTTTGCATCTGGTTAGACTCTAAGTTTTATAGATTCTCTCTCCTCGCTATTTGCTCTGCCTTATTTCAAGTCATCAGAGATAACAGCCGAAAGGGCAGGAAAATACAAAGTGTATTCAAAGACTCTTCCTTCAGTCTCAATTTCCTTATCTTTAAACTGCTTTAGACGATCACAAGGTTGTGTGAAGATCAGATGAAAATGTATATGAGAAAGTACTTGGGAGCTTAAAGCACTATAAAATGCAAGATTAGACCATAAGCCATGCACTTGTACAGTGTCACCTTGGAGGCGGTTTTCAATATCCCGACTCTATTTTTCTAATCTATACAATGACCAGTTCTGTAGTAGGTAAACTTTGGAAAATGCTTTTTAGCTCTGCTACTCAAAGATTTGTCAGTATTCAAAGTACAAATTTTCTTTAGTTCTGATTTATAAACATGAGCCGGATATGAGAATTTACATGGTTTAGCCTCAAGAGGCCCCTGCGAGCAGGTGCCCCCTGAAGAAGCACCATCCAGTCCGGCCACTGGACAGCCCTCTCCACTCAACCAATACAGTGTTTTCCCTGAAATGACAGGCTGACTTCTTCATTTCCGAGAACATTTCTGCCAAATACCCAAGTCTGAATAACTACAGTTTACTCGCCATGAAAAATGTGACTAATTCAGGTGTCAACTCAAACGCGCAGGAGTGGTTAGTGTGTGCGGCCCAATTTTGTCACACAGAACGTGAAAAGGACATGTACTGAGGGGCCAAGCCTTAATAGAGTTGACCGCTTCATCAGGGACTTTCTAAAACAAAATTGGCTTCTGCTTTTTTTTTTAAATTGCGAGCACCCACAATGAAGACTCCAATGACCCCTCGTCTTGATGGGCACTGAGGAGCCAGCACTTTTGCCCATCACTGCTTCTGTGTAATCAGCTCAAATGTCAACACAGTGATAAAGACACATGGCTTCTCAGTATTGTTATGAAAACAGTTGTGACCTCACAGGTTCCCGCAGAGTCGTGGGCATCCCCAAGGGTCCAAAGACTAAACTTAGAACTACTTACCTAGAACAACGTGGCAAGCGGTAAAAACTCAATAAATATTAGCCGCGGGGCGCCTGTGTGGCTCAGTCTGTTAAGCGTCTGACTTCGGCTCAGGTCATGATCTCGCGGTTCACGAGTTCGAGCCCGGTGTCGAACTGTGTGCTGACAGCTCAGAGCCTGGAGCCTGCTTCGGATTCTGTCTCTCCCTCTTTCTCTGCCCCTCCCTTGCTCATACTCTGCCTCTCTCTCTGTCTCTCTCTCAAAAATAGATAAAACATTAAAAAAAATAAAAAAAATATTAGCCATAATACGAAGTATAAAACATTATTGTTATTATCATTATTACTACCACTGTTGCTATTACCACTAGGGATACCATAAAAGAGACAGTGCCTGTTACTAAGAAATTTAAAACGGACTGCTTTTGAATAGCTTTTAGGGATGCAGGTATCTGAAGTTAGAAATCTCTATGTTAGGGGCGCCTGGGTGGCGCAGTCGGTTAAGCGTCCGACTTCAGCCAGGTCACGATCTTGCGGTCCGTGAGTTCGAGCCCCGCGTCGGGCTCTGGGCTGATGGCTCAGAGCCTGGAGCCTGTTTCCGATTCTGTGTCTCCCTCTCTCTCTACCCCTCGCCCGTTCATGCTCTGTCTCTCTCTGTCCCAAAAATAAATAAACGTTGAAAAAAAAAATTTAGAAAAAAAAAAAGAAATCTCTATGTTAAAATGACTATTATTATCAGAACATGTATTTGCTTGTGAAATGCTTGTTCAGTATTTACCCCTAGACAGACGCAGAAAAGAGCAAGGAAAAGATGCAGAAGGAAAAGATTGGGGAGGGGGTCCCGTGGTGGTGGTGGGAGGGAGAGACGTGGAAAAAAAGTCCAGCCAGAAGAGGAGAGGAGGACTGAGGCAAGAAGGGAGGAGAGAGAGAATGAGAGAGAAAAAGAGAGTAACCTGGGCATTCAAGGGAAGGAAAACCTGGCCTGGGCCTGCAAGGCCACGTGTAATAAGTGTGTTGATGACAACATAATTTGCTGCTTTCAAATACTGCACCAGCGCAACTGAACCTGCAAGTGTGAGGTAGTTTTCAGAAAACTAGTCCTCTGGCAAAAAGAGATGTTACAGGAATAAACTAAAGATGTACACTCAAAAGGAAACTACAGCTCCCAAAACATGTATTTGTGTACACACGTCTGCCCCCCACCTACTGAGGACACTGTTTTGAGAGACTTTTACCTCTTGATAATTAAAGCATAAAGAGGAAGAAGAGATTAGTTTTATATACATACATGTACGTATACATATATATTCCCATAATACCTTTCATCTTTCTGTGAACCACTGAAAACTTTCATTGCAAACCAACATTAATCTTGGGTGGTGGGTTCTATTTATTTATTTGAGAGAGAGAGAGAGGGAGAAAGTACACACACTCGAGCAAGGGAGAAGCAGAGAGAGAGAGGGAGAGAGAGTCCCAAGCAGGCGCCGCGCTATCAGGGCAGAGCCCGACACAAGGGCTCAATCTCATGAACCACGAGATCATGACCTGAACCAAAATCAAAGAGTCAGGCGCTTAACTGACGGAGCCACCCGGGCACCTCTAGAACTGTGTTTTAAAAGTTAAAAAACATGAAAAAACGTCTCGCCAGATTCAGTATACAGGGCAGAGTGATGGGAGTCTGAAGACCCATGCTACTAAAACCACGTAGAGGGACCGAGCCAGCTGCTCTAGGCCTGATTTTCTTCTCGGTGAAATAGAGATGAGGTCTGTCTACCCATCGTCCTATGAAGATCAAGAACATCCCCCAAAGTTTAAATAATATATAAATGAATTGTGATTAATGTAAGGTAGAATTATACCCATTAATAGAAGACTAAATTCTCACTGACCTATTAGTCAGTTGAGAAAATCTTAGAAGTATACTGTAGTGATTATAAATGTGCCTGCAGTTTAGATAAAGGTTGGAAAAAATACAAAAGTATTCTGATAATGAAAACTAGAGAACAGTGATGAACTGGACAGCATAATGATGTTCAAAAGCAGCAAACACATAGCTGTGAAACATTATAGTAATTTAGAACCTCTTATTTCTCCAGGACTTGGAGCACTGACCAACTTGAAAGTCCTGGTAGGGCCCTGAAATGGCATCTGTATTAGCTGGACCATTTCTACTGGCTGGACTGCGTTAATGTCAACAATGGGAGCCATCAAGCTGAAATAACAAAATATTCCCTTAAGGCCATCCTCTGTTAGTAGGCCGCAACCTACCCTAAATCTCTGCTTTCCTATGAAGCTATCTGGTGAGAGACTGAGAAGCAGGTGATCTCTTAAAAAAGGGATTAAGCCACTGGCCTACACCAGTAATTCTCAAACTTCAGCACCAGTCAGGATCACCAGGGGGGCTTGTTTAAAAAGGAATTATTGGACCCCACTCCCAGAGTGCCTAATTCATGGGTGGGAACCAAGACTCCATATTTGTACCAAGTTCATACAGGATGCGGACACTGCTGGTCCAGAGACCAACATTTCGAGAACCACCAGTCTATTACAGGTGCGGGCAAGCTTTTGGTAAAGGGCTAGATGGTAAATATCCAAATACCTTAGACTTTCAAGGCCACAGATGGCTGCTGTTGCTGCCCTTTTTTTTTTTTTTTCCCCAGCAACCCTTTAAAAATACAAAAACCACCCTCAGCTGGAGGTCTATAGAAAAAACTGGTCTGTTGTAGAGAGGGGAGGAGTTTTCTATCTTAGATGAGATATACCTTCGTTTATTTATTCAGGTCTTCCTTTGATGTTTAGTAATATTTTATAATTTTCTCAAAAAAAGAAAAAATGTTGCAAATGTCTTCTATTAGATTTAGAGGTTTCTGTGTTGCTATCTTGAGCCAATAATAACCAGAAAGGAAAACTTCATACCTCTTATTTTCCTTGCCATACTGATAACTAGGTTATTTTATATACTCTAGAATTTTAGAAATAATAGTGAAGATCAC